AATCCTGCAGTTCATCTAAGGGTCACTGATAGGGGAATTGAGGTTACGTAGTGTGCTAATTCAGGGAGGAGAAATGGGAGACATGACTTGATTTTAGAGCAGTGGGTGGTTGTGCATGAAAGACAAAAACAGGCATAAGAAAACAGCCTTTTTGTTCAAAATAGGGATGAGGTCACAGTTTGACAACATATTGGACTATTTAAAATATTAGTAGCTATTGTTTTGCTGCATTTCTAAAATAGCTGCAAAAGGATGTTGCAGAGAACAGGCATGTTTTATATAAACACATATACATGTGAACTGCCATGTTTTATATACATACTCTGATTCTCACACACATATGGGCATACACACACTTCTTCCACATATCCTATACCTCAACGTTTCTTTTTAGTACCTTCTAATCTTTTGATGCTTAGAAATTATGATTTCAAGGGTAGAGATCAAAGACTAGTAAAATTGCTTACACCGCATGCATCCTTTTTCCTTAATTTTTTTTTCACAAAAGTTTTTTTCATGGCAAAACATTTTCCCTCTAAATAATATTACATTTTGTGGCAAATTATGGTTGTTCCATTTATAGAGCAAACTAAAAATGAAAATCTATTTTCACAAAAAAATCAAAATTTGAAATCAAAGTGTTTGAAACAGCATTTGAAAAAAGTAACCTTTAAATAACATAAAAAACATCTATTTGAATCTTTTAAAATGACAAGGTGGAAGAGGTCAGATCTTTTTTTGTGTCAGTTTTGTTGGTGGGAGACAAGTTTTTGAGTTTACACACAGCTCTTTCTCAGCTTGATTTTTTTTCTTTCATCAACAGAAGATAACCCAACAGAAGTTAGCCTCTACCACTCTATAATAGCCTGAGACCAACATGACTACAATAGTACTGAAATCTTTTGTTTACTGAAAATCCTAGTTATAGTAAGTGGGGAAAAAATAGAAATAGTAACATTTTAAAATTAAAAAAATTGTCAAACAGGTATGATAAAATTTGTAGAAAAACAAAACTGGTAATTTTTGTGAAAAAATTAAATTACATTTTTGAAAATATTTTTTTTTATTTAACGTTTGAGCCAACGCTATTATTTGGGATAAAGGAACAGTTAGCAAGACTCAGCCATAACATGAGCACAAGATATTATGGCCACTGATGATATCAACAGTAATCAGTATCTTACAAGGGGCATAAAAGTAGAATTGGGATGTGGTAATTCGTCTGTGCTAGAAGCTGTAAGATTGTTGCTAAAGAGACTGCAGTAATCAGTATCTTACAAGGGGCATAAAAGTAGAATTGGGATGTGGTAATTCGTCTGTGCTAGAAGCTGTAAGATTGTTGCTAAAGAGATATTACACTATCTCTGTTTTACAGGTGAAGTAACTGCTACTAGTGCACTTATGTCCCCTCTCCTGTTTGTCGCCTACTAGCTCTTCATTTTCAAGGAGTTCATTATAACTTGATGTGTGTAACATGTTTAAGATTGTTGCACGTTTATTCATGTACAGTTAAATCCTTTTATCCTCACTGAAGCGAAACTCCCCTTGACCTCATTTGATGAAGGGGGAGGCATATCCTTAGGCTCTGTAAATTATCAAAGGGCCATAACTATAACAGTTTACTCCAGCCAAGGATCTGCCCCTGGGAGTTTTGCCTGAGTAAGGATGGCAAGATTTGACTCTTAGAATCCAATTCAGCAAAAATGTCTGGCTTCTTTGCCATGCATGACTGCAGGAACCTTGAAAAATGAGCTTTCCAGATGTGTGCTTTTCTGCTGGACTAGAGCCCTAAATAGTGTCCACGAGGATAATATTTATATCATATTTTATTCTTTAGGAAGAATTCACAAAATAGTAAAAATATAATTTAGCATAAATGAAGTTTCAAAACTCAGTTTAGTTTTACTTCTAGATATTCAGTAAAATTGAATTTTTGTTGTATCTTGGCAGAAACTTAGGTTTATGTTTTGGTACTTTTAACATGTCAGGCATTTGTTAGATGAGCTCTGCAAATCTTCAAGAGCTTTTCAGGTTGAACTTGAAAATGGGATAGTTATTATTACCATCTTAGAGAATTTTTTCACCAGTGTGCACTACTGTTTCTCTACAGTAGAGGTGAACATGATTGAGTAATACATTGTATAATGGTACTTGAAAGCATTAATCATTAACAATGCAGACTTGCAAATGTCATTGCTCAAGAAAAGCTATTCTGCCTTTTGGGGTTATTATCATGATTGCATTTTCCAAAGACTATAGTCTCATTAACATTAGTCAAATGTATATATTTAAAATGTTACTCATATATCTGAGATTCCCAAGGAGGCAGACATAGAGGCTGTGTCTACACTGCACCCTTTTTCCGGAAAAGGGATGCAGTGTAGACACAGCCAGAGTGTCTTCAGCACACTTGGTGGAGCATAAATTTTATTAGCAATTTTTATGTACATATTTAATCAATTGGAAATTAAAATAGTTAAGGTATCCACGTTGTCAAGGACTTGTTATTTATAGACTGACAGTTGAAATCACTAACCCATCACATTTAGCTCCTTGCTACAGTATTCTTGTTTGTCCTTTTAAAAAACCACACATTTATTTAAATATTTAGTTAAAATCATTTTGAAAGAAAGTGGATCATAGTTAGGTGTGGTCTAGTAGATAAATCACTTCTCACTTCCAGGTTTTGGACTACAGCTCAAGCCAGCTCTTTGACTCAGATTATATTAATTTAGTGGTCAGATCTCACATATTTTGAAACAGTGGGATTTGCTGCTTGAAAGAGAATGGAAGCAGAGCTAGCCTGAATGATGAATTGTTTCTCACCATTAGGTGGTCTTTTCAAGCTTGAAGTTATTTGGAAAAAGCATTTGGAAATTCAGATGTGCCTGCTTATGTTGTCCTTGGCTTATGAATATAAAATACAAATAATAAAAACCTCTTTAGTATTCCAGCCTTCATGTGCAGAACTTTTCCCTCACAACTAAGGGTGGGAAGGGAGAATGTGACAGGTAAAAACCAGTAGAGTGAGAGCGTTCTTCACCTGAACCAATCTGCCCGTTTCCATATGTTCAAATCTTCTGATGCCCCCCATCCACAATCTGTTTGCTGTCCATCTGTAGTTTTTGTTTGTTTTTAGTTTTATATCACATATGCAGCCAGGAATAGACAAAAAAGTAAAAAAAATTATTCTTCTGATTATGGGGGATGCAATCTGTCCACACAAGCTTCAGTTGATGCATTTTGTCTTCCCTCGCACATATGCTATGCGACCGCTGCACGCAGGAATGGAATATCTTGAAGTTTAAGGGATTTATTCTTTAATCTTACATGTAAACCTTACCTAGTTAGACCCATTGAAATGAGGGTGTCTGCTCTCAAGGGCAATAGCTATCTGCCTCCCTATTTTATCTGGAATCTGTGAAATCCAGCTTTATGACAAATTACAGAGCACCAGTCACTGTAGTGTTTAAACATGAAGGCTGTGTCTAGACTACATCCCACTTTCAACAGAGGGATGTAAATTAGATACTTCGAAATTGCAAGCGAAGTGGGGATTTAAATATCCTGCGCTTCATTTGTATAATCGTGTAATGGTGCTCTTTCAAAAAAGCGCCATTTTGAAAGTAAAACCGCAGTCTAGACACGGTTCTTTAAAAAATGGCAGGCTTTTTCGAAAGATCCAGTACTCCTCAAAAAATGAGGTTTACAAGATCTTTGGAAGAAGCCTGTAGGTTTCGAAAGAACCGTGTCTAGACCGCGGTTTTACTTTCTAAATGGCGCTTTTTTGAAAGAGCGCCATTACGAGATTATGCAAATGAAGTGTGGAATATTTAAATCCCCGCTTCATTTGCAGTTTCGATGTGTCTAATTTATATTCCTCTGTCCTAAGAGGAATGTAATCTAGACACAGCCGAAGTGATTAGGTTCATAGCAAAATGTCCATAGAGGGTGAAATGACAGATTCTGCTCTTCATATTTCCTAGGTTCTAGAAAGATATACATAGTGGCTGTGTCTACACTGGCCACATAACCTGTAATAGCTATGGAAATGAGAGAAGTCAGAATAGGGAAATGCGCGGGGGATTTAAATATCCCCCGCGGGATTTAAAGAAACAAGGCCGCCCTACTTGCAAGTAGGAATAACAGATCCTTCAGAATAGGGCTTTATTCCGGAGGATCGCGCCAGTTTGGACGCTCTTTTCCGGCTTTTCCCCAAGCCGGAAAAAAGCGGCGGCCATGTTTATTTAAATCCCGCGGGGAATATTTAAAACCCCCGCGCATTTCCCTATTTGACTTCTTTCATTTCCATAGCTATTACACATTTCCCTATTCTGACTTCTCTCATTTCCATAGCTATTACAGGTTATGTGGCCAGTGTAGACACAGACAGTGAGTTTCTGTGTTTTTTGCCTCTGGAAAGTAATCAAAATGTCAAATATTCAGTCCTGGAGAACAGATATTATTGTGGAATTTACTCTGAAGACTGATACATTCTCCTCAGAAGATGGGAAGGTTTACTTATGGCAATGAGTGTTTCTGGAACAGGCTCTAATGAAGATGACTTTGCAGCATGAATTAGAATTACATTTAGTCTCTGAGGCGCGTGGGTGACAAGGCTACATGAACAAGTAGCAAACATATGAGCCCTATGGAATCATGAGCAATGTAATAAAATGTAAACATGCCAGCAATTTATTTTATGTATTAAGCAAGCATAGAAAATAATCCCAATTTTAGTTTGCATTATGGAGATTTTATGATTCATGAGTTTTATAAAAATTCCTACTACGTAGTAGCTGACAATAGAGTATAAGAGTTTTAGTGGATTATTTTAACTTGTACAGTGTTCCTTTATGCAAAAACCTTTCCAGATGTAGTTCTCTTGTAAGGGAAAAATTAGCCTCCTTATGTGTCCCCCTCCTCCAACTTTTCCTCCTCTTTTTTCTTGATTTTACACAGTCTGTGCCAATTCATTTATAAGTTAATTTTGTTTAAAGGTAGTTAACAACCTTGGACCTCTGGAGTTGATTCTTAATACTCCCAGTCACCACAGAGTTCATCATGGTAAGCAATAGGCATGTCATCTGATTTTCCGTTGTTTGTTTTCTTACTGTCATTATTTATATTATATGTAAAAGGTAGAGAAATGAGGAAATGTGACTGGTGTTTTTTTAAAATAATAGGAGAGGTTTCATAAAGAGTTTTATAACAACCTTTTATTCTCAGTGAGTTATAACTTTAAAACGCTTATTTCTCAGACTGAATTTTTTCAGATTTGTTCTCTGTCCAAATGTGAATTACTTGCAATTTTGCAAAACAGTTCAACATTTTTGAATATGAGAAGAGTGATGGGAATAGCAAACCTTTTCTCTTCATTGTTTAAAATTAATAAATATTGTAACCCATTTTCATCTGTTCTTGCACCTTAAAGTCAAACATTCAATATTTGCATAGAATTGGCCCATTTAAAAAAAATCTGCATTTGGCTATTTCAGTGAAACTTCAGTTTTCATTTCACTGCATTATTGAAAATATCATTTTGCAACTGTTCAATACAATTGATATTAATTTTTTCACACTTTTCAACAATAGCGTAAGGATAGGTTGTAGTGTACATATGTGATTGGTTAATTTAATGGTGTAGTGTAGTGGAAAAGGCTTGAGAACTTGTACAGGACATGGAAAAAGTTGGGACTCTAAAAGTGCCTTTGGCTTATCCATTGGGCAGTTTGCAAGGCTCATTCATTATCTTGTCAAAAGCAACGATAATAAGTAGAACAGTAATGGTGAGATGAAGACACTTAATTTACTAATTTGAATCAGGCTCAAAAATAACTAAATGTGCAGTGGGTGTTATAACTGTTTATTAGAACGGTGTGTTAATTTTTATTTTACTGTATAGACATTTAAGAGGGTGAATTTTTGTGAAGATCCAGTCCTTCAGATTTGCACATGTATTGGCAATCCCAGTGTACCAAATTCTGTTTTCACTCAGTGAGCCTATTAGCCACAAATCTCGTCAAGTTCATTCTAGTTATGCACAGGTTTAAATCAGTTGTGGGTAACTGAGGGCAGAATTTAGCTCTTTGATTTTAATGGGACTGAGTAAATATGAGTAAAATTTAGGAATGTGGAACCGTGTACTAAATAGAGAGATTGGTCCTATTCATAATTAAGTCCCTAGAAGCTCCCCATGATTTAAGTGAGGGTGAAACCTGAGCTATAGTATAGAAGGCGTACAGAGGTCACAGGAAGTCATTCATGAGATTGTTGTACACATCTTGTGTATATTAGGCACATATCTTGTTAGCCACAATTTGATTAATTGTTTATGATTTTTTCTATTTGTTTTTTAACTTTTGTATGTATATACAAGTTGGGGTGAATTCATCCCAGATATAATTACATTGATTTCAGGTAAATTGCAGCAATAATGAATTTGAATCATACATTTTCATCCCAAGTTATATTTTAGTATTCAGATGAGAGGCATAAGAAAATGTGTAGCTGGTTAACAATGAAAAGTTAGTTACTTCCTGTCTTTGTTATTAAGTAAGCAAGTCAGATTTACAAAGGCTTACTTTTGGAGTTCAGTTGAAGTTAGTACAATTCACCGATTTTTCATCAGTGTACTCTTTTGTGTGTGTTCTAGGCAGAAATCCTTACTGCATTGACAAAAATTATGGTGGTACTCTGATTATTTGGGATAGAATTTTTGGTAAGTGAAATAAGTTGCAGTTACTAATATTAATTAATGTTGCAAACAGGAAGTTTTATGCTTTTAAACTTGATTATTTTTCCTTCTCCCAGGAACATTTGTGGCAGAAAATGATAAAGTTATATATGGCCTAACACACCCAATAAATACATTTGAACCTTTCAAGGTCCAGGTAATGTATTTTGCTTGCTAAATTTTTATATTTTAATGTGAGTTTATATTTCAAAGAACCACATTTTTGAGAGATATGGCAAACTATACTGTACTATAGATAGTTTTGTAATTATTTGAAGTGTTTACTGTAGTGCTGTCACATGTTAGTGGTTTAAACCATTTCATATAAACCACATATAATATATTTCTGTAAATCTCAATTGTTGTTGGATCATATTTCTCAATGTAGTCCATTTCTATGCTCTCTTTGGGGTGAAAATGCAATGGGTAAAAATTATTCATGTTATTTTTCACTGAAGTCAGCAGATTTACCCTAGTAACGAGTAATACTCCTGTCATAATAAGTTTTTTCTTTCCTGCTTAATTAGGATGACATTCTTTATCAGCAAATGGTAAAGATACAAAATGTATTATATTTGTTACGTATATTCCTCTTTTAAAATAATTCCCCAGTCTAAAGGCTTATATAATTTGTTTTTACCACATCTCTTCATTACATTTGATATTCAGGTTATCCCAGAATGATTTATGAAAACAATGAATTAATGTTACTATTGGCAGTAAATGCAACAGCCAACATGCACTGAATAAAAGCTGAGATACAGTTTGAACGTTAAAATCTGTTTTATTGAGGAAGATTGTTAGCTAAGGCATGACATTTATCCTCACCTCTCTTCTCAAAACCCAAAAGGTTGTTTATCTTCCACTTGGACAAGCGCCAGAAGAATAGTTTTCAATTTAACATGTCATTCCAAAGCTAATGGGGATGCTCAGGAGTATCAAGACAGAATTTTGTCTAGTTCCTCTAATGTTGCAGTGCCTCTTATAACACTGATCCCTGGGCCTGGGTGCTACTGTGGGATGTAAACCTCTGTCCTGGCATTGAAAAGAGTTTTCTACCAATACATTATTCTGATGCCTGATGTGAAAGATGGGGGTTTTGTTAGTGGCATGTATATCTAGGTACAGTTACACCTAGAAGATTCCGTTCAGAACTTTTAGTGGAACATTTCAGCATTTTCAATGGAATTATGAGTTCTCAGTACCTCTGAAAATCAGTCTCTTGGTAAAGCAGGGTAAAGTATAATGTTTTGTTAAATTGCAGTTTTTTTACTAATGAATATGGACAATTACTTATGTCTTCACAGTTATGTCACTTGGTTCATATATGGAGAACATTTTGGGCCACTCCTGGATACTGTAATAAACTCTCTGTAATATTCAAAGGACCAGGTTGGGGACCAGGAAAACCTAGACTCGGCCTTCCTGAGGAAATCCCAGTGGTAAACTGAATATATAGAAGGATTTCAGTTGCATATAAGTTACTTACCCTATACGTGCTGGTGGATCAAGGTTAAAAAAATCTACGTCTACTATCTTAAACTAGAAGCTTTAAAGAAGGGTGTGTCTAGACTACCTAGTTTTGTCGACAAAAGTAGACTTTTGTCGACAAAACTATACCAGCGTCTACACTACCGCTGAGTTCTGTCGACATAACGTCGACAGAACTCAGCAGTTTTGTCAACGCTGGTATACCTCATTTTACGAGGCATAACACCTTCTGTCGACAGAACTCTGTCGACAGAAGGTGTTATTGCCTGTAACATTGCGTCCAGACTACGGAGTTCTGTCGACAAAGCAGCTTGCTTTGTTGACAGAACTCAATGTGTCTGGACGCTCTTTGTCGACGGAAGTTTTGTCGACAGTATCTGTCGACAAAACTTCCGTCGACAAAATGCGGTAGTCTAGACGTACCCGAAGAGGGAATTAAAACAGACTTAAGGGAATGGAAGTTTTAGCTGCGTGTTCCCTTTGTATTTGAATTTTAAAAATTAGTCATATATAGACTTATTCGTTTTCCAGAAATTTTCAGAAGTTTTATATAAAGTGGCACTTAAAACCTTTAGTTTAACCTGTTTCTCACAATAGATCATGTATATATTTAGATAACAAGTACTCCTCAATTGTTTCTCCCATATGCCATTAAACATGACCCTTCATCACTTGGTATTTGCAGTTAACATAGGGACTAAAGGATAACATGATGGAGTAGGTCACTAATGAAGACTATTATCTGTTTTGCTGTAGATCACTGGAAAAGAAGTTAATTTCGATCCCAAATTACCTATATATCTTTCTGTCTATGCAACAGTACATTTTGTCTTGATGCTGGGCTTTTATATGGATCTTTTTGAGAACAAGGCTGTAAGTAATTCATACTTTAGTGAAGTGCAATGTGTCGTGTTAGCAAAAAAATGTCTGAATGAGAGATGTTTTGAATGTTAAAATGAAGTATTCAATTCTGCAGAGGCCTGATCCTACTCTCACTTACTCTGCTATACTCAGGAATAACTCCACCAAAGTATATAGAGTCCTACCAGTTGAAAGCAAGTGCAACTGAGTTTGGATTCAGGCCTAAGAAATGTATCTATAATGATTAAACTAAAATATACCCTCTAATATGAACAATATTTTCCTTTTCACAAACAAATTAGGGTTTAATATTTTCCCCCAATATCAAGAATTCCCCCCGCCCCCTTGAACTCAGATATTTATCAGCCTGTTCTGAAGATTTTAGCTTGGCTACATAGCTGTATAAATGCATAAAAGTTAGAATATTTCAAATAAAAAGTAGAACGAAGCCAACTTATTGGAATTACAGATAAAATAACTAATATTAACTTTTCCAAAAATGAATTTGGGTGCTTGAGATTCTAGTTGACCAATGGTAGAAACGTAGAGGCATGATTCTTTAGTGGATAAGTGCTTGGCGTTTTCTAAAAAACAGTCCTTTTTGAAATGTCTGAAGTTGGGCACCCAAAAATGTAGGCTTCCAAACTCAATAGTCACTTTCAACAAATCTTGACTGAAATATTTGCGTTGATTCTAATGTGAATGCTCCTTCTCAAGTGCATGACGTGCAGGGCAGGGAGATGGTCTGCAACTATAACAAGGAGTTGGGGCCTGCGTGGTGGCAAGCTATGGCAATATGGTATGATCCCTTGGCACTGTATAGCCTCCCAAAGCCATTCTATACCAAATAGGGAAAGTTTGACTAGAATACAGAAGAGAGATTGTGCCATTCTGGTGGTGGAGGAATTAAAAATAACTACTTTACACCTCATCCCTGCATAATTTAGGTGAAAAAAATTAACTCTGCTTTAACATCAACTTATTTTGTGTACCTTGTGACCTTACCAGAGGGTCATGTGTGTCTCCATAGTTTGGTGATCCAAAGGTAATATGCTGACTAGCTGTGATGACATTTCTGAGGACTTGGGCTGGACTAGAGCTATGCAGAATTAGGATCAGCATAGCTGCATATGGAGCATATGAGAGAGAGAGATCAGTTACTCTTTGTGTCATGTGAATTGTCAGGCTATGAATGATGTTCAAGCCTTGTCCTCTGGCACCAGTAAATCTGATTGACCTAGATGAACATACAGTGGGTCTTTGCAGCAGCAAGAGCTATAGCATACTGCATGTGAATTTCTTCCTGGTTTTGTTTTTTTTCCCTTCAAGTGGGGGAATATATGGCTCAAACTATTTTTGTACTATCATTTACAAGTGCAGCTGTTTAAGAACTGTCAAAGGATTAAAGGAAGTTTAAATAAAACCTGAAGTCCTTTAACGTTATTATTATTCTCCACAATCTCACAAAAGTACCATTCTGAAGGGTCAGTGTTGTAAACTTAAAATTGCAAAATGAGCAGAAAATGATCTGCACAAAATATGAGGTAGTGGGGTAATAATGATAGAAAGGAAAAGAGAAGACAGGAAGAGAAGTGTCCGCACTTCTGGAAATAAACTCCAAAGATGGTGAAGAAAGCAGTGCTATACAGAAGGTCAAGTTCCTGGATATTTCTAGAAATAAAGAGGGAAAACTATCTCCAAAAGAGAACACATATACGAATAACGTAACTTGGCAAATTCTTCATTTAGTATCAGTTTTCCTGTACGTTGAGGTTTGAAATGGCTATAGACACAACTGGAACTTTCTGCTTGTCTATGCATTATGTCATAACCATGGCATAGCTCCATAAATGGAAAGAACTAACTGTTTTCCTAATTTTTGGGACTAAGTTCCATTGCATAATAGCAATAAGACATTCTACCAGCACGCCGTTGTTACATTCCTCGTGTGATTAAAGTCAGACTTTGATTTCATGTCCTTTAAAAGTGTAAGATTTTCCATACACAAAGAGCAGCCATAAACCTTCAGTTGAAATAACCTTTAATTTAACTTAAGAAACTAGCAGAATAAGAAAGAACAAATTAAACATTTTCTGCAAGAGGGAGCAGAGAGTCTTTCTTCCATAGCAATCTGCACAACATTCTGAGAATAAAAGTTACTGCTAAGCTCGATACACCATGATTTGACTGAAATTTTGCTGAAGTTAATGGGCTTTGGATCATTCCCAAAGAAAATGCTAGAAACGTAAAACTGCAGTATATTAAAAACAAATGTCATCACAGTTTCATAATTACATCTACTGCAAAAATCACTCAAAATGTAACTTGATCAACACTTTCTGGAGTGTCTTATTGCTGGTTGTTACTATAGCACATGTTAATATATGTACTTATGTTAGCTTGTTTGTACATAAGCAGTTTTGATGTGATCAAGAGAAAAGATAAGAGATGTCTCTCAAAGACAGGACAACATTGAGTGATGTGCATAATCCTGTATTTTTAAACACTCCAAGACATTTTAAGGGTTTTAATAAAAGCTTCTAAATCAAGAAATTTAACAAGTGACCTCCTTAACACTGAAACTAAATTCTTCATTAGTGCTGCTAAATGAGGAAACCTAAAATCTGATGCAGATTATTAGCATTTGGTAAACTGTGAAAATTGCCAGACCTTTTCATAGGGGCTGATGTTCTGCAATATGCCAGTAGGAGAAATATTTTCGTGGAACACATCACAAAAATAAAATAATCTACAATCCTTTTAAACATAAAAGTAAGTTTGGAAACAGGCTCTTATCTAAATACTCTTTCACTCTGAATGGTGTATTTGCTTGATTTGAGCAAATTATTTCATCTTTACTAAAAATATTTTGTGGTAATCTGTTGATTATGCAGCAGTGTAAATTTCTTCCCCAAATTCCATAACTCTTTTTTTTAAACTTTGGGACATTTTGAAAGCTTGTAGTGAAATCAAAATCCAACAGAAATATTTTTTTCTGTTTGATTGCAGCCAATAACCACAATGCAAAAGTTGTGGCTGATGTGTAAGTGAGGGTCCTGCTGTGGTCCCATAGGCTTCTCTGTTTATACAGATACTATAGTATATAAATACTCATTTATTTTATCTAGCCATGCATATATATAATTTTTGGTGTGGTAAGAGAGTGCTAGCCATAATGCTAAATTGTAAAAGGCACATTCATTTCTCACTGCTATTTGCAATGCCTACATTTAACATATAATGTTTGGTTTAGTGAAATAACCTACTGACTTTTTTGTTGATCTTGGTAGTTTAACACTTAGGAAACTGATGTTCAGCTGCCAGCGTCCACTCATGGGGTGATGCTATGAATAAAAGTTTGAAATGTAAATTGAGGAAACATGTTATTGAGTAACTGCAGGGCTAGATCTGTAAAAATAAAGATATAGTTGTTCAGTGTAATAAACGCATATTTACACTATGTAGCTGATGTTCTCAACAACTCTTGTTACTACAAGAATGATATTACAATATATTTGGGTGCAGATTATTTTGAAGATAGCCGAGAGTATCACTACAAATGTGGGAAAACATATTTGCTATGCAAAATGGCTTGAATATAGTTCTCAATTTCTCATCTTCTGTGAAATATAACTTACTGCATCTAAACTTACCTGAATGCTCATTAATAGATTTAAAAATAACCATTCTTCTACAAAGGAATTTCAAAAGCCAACTATAGAGAAAGCGAGCAGAATTTGCCTTGATATGCAAATTAGACACTGTCTCTCATGGCTTGAATGAAGACTTGAACGGGATGGCCCATTATAAAACCTGTTTTCTTTACATGCAATGCTCAATTGACATTAAACTCTAAGTATGGGACACTTCCAGCCCATTCAGTTAGCCTCATTAGCACCTGCACTACAATTGACAGGTACTTTCCCTGAGCCCTCATTTTTTTTATGAAGGTTCCCCCTTTTTTTGTCTGCTCTGCTCATCTGAAGAAATGGGTTTTGACCAAGTCACATGGTTCACCCTTCACCACTTCAGAAAGCAGTGTACTTTGAGAATGGGAGACAAGTGATGCAGTATATATTCTTCCTTTCAGCATGTTTACACAGCATAAAGGAATCAGGATAGGTTTGACTTGCAAATAATGGCAATCTGTAAGCCACCATGTTCTCAAGTGTGGGGCCTGAATCAAGTTTGACAGAAGATACAGATGCCATTATAAAGTATACTTCCCAATTGACAAAGTTGCTAAGAAGAAATAGAAAGTGGTCCAAAGCAGAAACTGTAAAATAGACAGCTTATACCCAGGCCCAGATTAAGACATGCTGAGGCACTAAATTATGTCAAGTTTAAGAGGTTCCATAGCATTGCCAAAAAAATGTGTATTATTCTAATAGAAAGGACAATGAAAACAGGAATACAGGGCATCCTCACTATAAGTCACCTGGTATACATCTGCATTAAAGTTGTTGACGCTTGTAGGAACTGATGCATTATAAATTCTCCCATTACCTGCTCTTAAGTGGTGCAAAACAAAAAACCAACAACAGTTTGCACAAATGGAAGTCAGCCATGGGGAAAAAAAAGCTTTAAATTGTTTCGCTACAAGTCCAAGTTTTTTTAAACGTATCTTGGACTTATTGTGAGGACAGCCTGTAATAAAGTTTTATATTTGCACAGATAGTGGTATATGGGGGAAGATGTAACTAGAAACTAGTAATTTTTTTTGAGGGGGGAGGGTATTTCGAGGTCCTAATTTAATTTATTTACTTTGTGCATAAATATGGCACTGCTGGTACCTCTTTTTTCACCTTCTTTATTATTGTAAAGGAGCAAGGGTTTTATACAGATGAACTGCATATAATTTTAATCCAGATGCTAAAAACCTGTTGTTCGTGAAATATATCTATACTCCCTTCTCTTTGCCAGAATCTAACAGTTATATAGGTGTAAAGCTAAACTGCATTTAATTCTCCCTTTGGAAACTGAGATTAGGGAGAACAGAAGGAAACTTCTTGGATGACTGAGTCCCAATCCTTCAAAGATTTACACACACACTGCAGGAGATTATTCTCATAAGTGACATTTTTCGTGTATATAAATTTTCACAGGATGAAGTCTAAATTTCAATATTTTTTCCTTCTCCAGTGCTGGGGAGCAAAATCTGCAATTTAAACCATTATTTCGATCCCCTCTAGCTCAGATTAGGTCCATCAAATGGAGACAAATGAGGACTTCAGCTTGTCAGAATTCTTCAAGTGAAAAATGGCTTAATGAAAACTGTTAACATCTTTAAAACTGTAACTGTTTAATTTTTTTCCAAAATATTTTCTCTTTTCCTATTGAAAATTGTGGTTTGGTAAACAAATGATGTTGATAGGCATTTAAGATAAGTCATCAGGTGTTTTTTTTTTAAATGAAGAAATGCCCTTTTGATTCTGGAGGTTTTCCAGACGGCAAAGTGCCTTCCTTCCCAAACAACCTTAAGGCCCCTCGCAACCAAGGCAACCAGGGACAGAAAGGAACATGTTATGGAGAGTTTTACTGCAGCCCCAATCACTGCTATAACATTCAGGGGCAAATCTTCCATGTTCTTGATGCAGTAGTCAGCTGCCCACTGGTCCCTAGTTTCCCAGCTCTTCTCAGAGGCGTAAGTGGGTACTGCCACACCATAGTCTCCAGAGCTGTGTCTAGACTGCAGTGTTTTTTCAAAAAAGGTAGCCTTTTTTCGAAAAAACTTCACCTGCGTCTAGACTACAGCCGCGTTCTTTCGAAATTAAATCGAAAGAACGCGGCTTTTCTTTCGACAGCGGTACTCCTCATTTCACGAGGAAGAACGCCTTTTTTCAAAAGTGCTCTTTCGAAAAAAGGCGTTCTTGAATGCCAACAGGGCTTTTTCGAAAGAGAGCATCCAGACTTCCTGGGTGCTCTCTTTCGAAAAAGCGGTTTGCTCTTTCGAAAGTACTGGTTGCAGTCTAGATGCTCTTTTTCGAAAGAGGCTTGCAGTCTAGACGTAGCCCAGGAGAGGAATCCTCTTCAGAATCTAAAAGGGAAAGCTCCTCCCAAAGCTGACTGGCACTTGGCCTACATGTCAGACATTGGTACCATCTGTGTGCTGGTGCCTGGGCACTGGCTGATGCAGTGGTAGTACTGGAATCCCTAGGTCTTTTCCCTAGTTTAGGGGCTCTCTGCCCATCGCTCACGGTCTACACATCAGACTTTGGAGAGCTAGCAGGGACCTTCTTGTGCAAGTCTGTCAGCCCAGGCTTGATGGCTTGCTCCTGTAGGTCCCAAAATGCTGTATTAGATATATCCTGTGTAACACTGACTTCAGACTGCAAGGCTTGATGAAGTAACAAAGCATGGACAAGCGTTTCTGCTTCCTTGAGTGCTGGAAGTTTAATATCATTTGGAAGGTGAATTTTTTTAATCACAATTTTTATTCACCTGGAGATAAATCTGTGCAGTGGAGCAGCTTGACAGATGCAGCTAGAAAGTAGTACGTGTTTGCTTGTAAACTGGTTAGACTCTGGTTATCCCTTTGCTGGAAATCTGTTTTCTTTATCTGATAACTTTTTATGAATGATATCAAAGTAAGTGCTTTCTGATTCTTCAGTAAAACAATAGAATCCACTGCAACCTGAGCCTGTAGTCTCAAGTGTGCTGGAAATATGGACCATGGAAATTTGTACAAGTGTAAAATTTGAGAATTCCCCCCACCCACACAGGCACTTACCTTAGATCTCTTTTGGATAGGGGCCACCACTGGAAGGAGAAGTGGTGATGTTGCAGAATGGGATTTTTGAACTCATACTTTTGAGCATGCATATATGTATTTTGATTTGTTTTCAATACTTGAAATCTTGAGGTTGCAGTTTATAAACCCTGCAGTTAGCCAGACCTGTGGTGGATAGCTATTTTCTTTTGAGCACCAATATAAAGGGTTCAGATAATCTCAGGAGAAAAGCAGAGAGATGAAAATTAAAAATAATTATTTCAAAGTTTAATCCTACGAGCAGAATTATTTTAGGAAAAATCTGATTCCAGTAGCTTCTGAACAGCAAAAATAAGGACATTTAGGAAACAGGCTGGAGAATCTGGCATGGGTTTTTTAGATACAAATTTCAAAGTATCAAACTACTTTAAAAGCAGACACTAATGTATAATTGAGAGTGAAAGTTCAGTCTGCTCCAGTGTCAAGTTGAGAACCAAATATCCCTTCAGAGAGTTACCCAAAATGAGAAATTTGTCTCTTTGTTGTTTTAACAGACTTTATCACAGGTGACTCTTCTCTTGAGGATTGGCTACATTATCCTGACATTGACCTCTATTGGATTCCTTATGGAGCAAAGGCGAGACATGGAACATTTTCTTTCTTTTCTTATTTCCTGGCTGTGAAAAATATAAAAATTCTATTGTGTACCACAATCACTTATAAAATATGACAACCACACAGTATCAAGAGGCCATCTTTGTAATCAAAAGCATGCATTTAATACTTGCTCAGGAGTGGGCAATAAGATCAAAAGTAGTTTGCCAGGGTTAGCACTTGGCAGGCTGCCAGATGCTTTATTTCCTTGTGTGTCCACAGGTATGGCACCTTGCAGCTCCCCGTGGTCATGGATCACCATTCCTGGTCAGTAGGAGCTGTGGAAAATGGCGTCCCAGTTTGTGCCATTTCCTTCAGCTCCCATTGTGCAGGAATGACAAACCACGGCCAATAGGAATTGCGAGTGGCCATACCTGCAGATGTGTAGGTAAATAAAGTGTCTGGCAGCCTGCAAAGAACTAACGGTGGCAAACTGCATCTGGCTCATGGGCTACTTATTGCTCACCCCTGTACTTGCACACTGCAATATATGGACCAAGCTGTGATGCATTTATAAGTAGTACCCAACACCGCAAGTACTTCTGTTGGAGTCGGTGAGGGTTCTTTTGGACTGTTGGGCTACTCAACTTGAGTAAGGAGCTAAGAAATAATGGAAAACAACTATTGAGGGAAATGGTATTCATCCTGCTTGTAAACTAAATAGACAAAATTATTTATCTTTAAATATATAGTCATTTTTCATTTAACATTCCAGTGACAACTGCTCTGTTTGACCTGCATTATTCATTCAGAGATAAAATGCCTTTGATCCTTACACACTAAATTGTTTAGTTCAGCATAGGGAAATAATTTGCCAATGTACAGAAGAAGTTCAGAATTTATGCAACTAAAAATGTGGATGGATATAAACTCTATATATAGTCACCAAAAGGGATTAATAGGTTACAGCTTTATTTGTTGTTTCCCAAGTAAAGATACATTAAAATAGAATTAAGATTGAGTGCATACATCAGAAATTCTAGAACATGGGTTCTTAATTTTCATTGCACCGTGACCCTTGCAACAACAAAAATCACATTGGGTTGTATCTCCCTTAACTGAGACTCCTTAGTCCAGCCACATCCATGATCTGTGGACCACAAAGCCCAGGAAGAGGATGATGGGGCAGGAGTGCCATAAGTGGCACCAGAGGCTTAGATGGGAGCCCAGTGTCTCTGAGTGGGGCGGGACAACATGGGGGAAGTTCTGGCTCCATCAGAGCAACCTGACTGCAGCAGCTGGGCAGGTCTAGCCTGTCTGTGACCATGGACCTCTGGCTCCGGCCAGGGAGCTCTATCCCTGTCCTTGAACGTGGAGGTCCGGACGTGTTCTGGATCCAGTGGTCAGGGAACTCCAGCCCCAGTGGCAGCCAAGGAGCTCTGGCCCCAATCCACCACTTGGGCCACAGAGCTCTGGCTCCAGCTGTGGAGCCAGGTGGCTGCGGAGCTCTTCTCTTTCACATCTCTGGCTATGGCACTCTAGCCCCAGCAGCAGTGGGACTGGGGAGAGCCCCATGGGGTTGAGGCAGCAGTGGGGACAGGTTGGAGCCCTAGCCTGGTGGCAACATGGCCACAAGAGGAGGGACCTTCCTTGATCTGGCAAATATCCTCATTCGGGACCAGTCAGGTCCCAAGGGGCCAGACCTGTGAGGTCCAACCTGTACATGACCTTATCGGGGGAGGGAGGGGGGTTGAAGCCTGAGCTCATTTGAGCCTTTTCACCCCGGATGGTGGAGACAAAGTCTGAGCCCCACCACTCCAGGCTGGGGAAGCAGAAGTCAAAGCCCCAGGGCTGAAACCCTCTAACTTGATTCCCATGTCCGAAGCCACTAGGCTTCAGCTTTGACTCAGGGCTCCAGCGAATCTAATGGCAGCCTTTATGCCCCCTTAAAAGCGGGTCACAACACAGTTTGGGGTCCTGATCCACAGTCCAAGAACCACTGAGGCAGAACACATTACAAACATGTTGATCCTCAGACCAAGTTTACTAATCCAGGAAATTCAGAGCTAAGTTTTAAATTGTAAACTTAAATCAGATTTTTAGTGAAAATAACTACAGGATGTCCTCAGTGCCTCATATTATATCCCTATTTGCCAATGACATACTGAACAGAGTACTCAACATGTAATGAAGAAAAGATGGAACAATAATTTTAATTCTTATTTCTAGGCCCAAAGGAGCTAGTTTGGAAGCTGTCCGCTGCGCAGTTTTTCTAGTTCTGCACAAAGTTGGCTACCTGAAAACATACATTGCTAGCTTGGCATTTACTTATGAGGTAAGATATTTGTTTTTAAGAGTGCTATATGCAGATTGCAGGCCCTAGGGACTCTTGATTTTTTTCCCTTTTCAGAAAATAATCATTTTGCCAATTTAAGATTAAGGGTTGCCTTTAGAGTTATATATTTCTGTTATATATTTTGACTATACAGTTGATCAGAATTTTGGAATTTTTTCTTAGCCTTTTATCCTGTTTCTCACAGATTGCTATAGGGGAAATTGTTAATTGTGGTTGGTACCTAATGTATCAATTTAAAAAAAAAAAGTCAGACACAAAAATGTGTATAATATATTAGTGGCCATAAACTTTTAAAGAAATTCCTTCATGTGCTGCCCAACCTCCAGATTTAATTTATTGCATGATCTTAATTATTTGGAAGGATTTAACAATCCACCTGAAGTAGCATACTCAGTTGTCAAGGAAATCAGATTCAATTTGTGTTTCCTGATTTCACATCCTCTTTAGCATTTGTGTTTAGAGTGTAGGATTTTGGTGGTGGGGGGGGTGGTCTGGACTTAGAATACATAGGTGTATATTTTACATTAGGAGCATTGCCAGCAGATGTAGAGAAGTGATTATTTCCCTTTCTTCCGCACTGGTGAGACCACATCTGGAATATAGCATCCAATTCAGAAAGGATGTGGACACATTGGAGAGGGTTCAGCGGAGGACAACGAAAATTATTAGGGGGCTGGAGCACATGACTTACAAGGAGATTTTGACTTGTTTAGTCTACAGAAGAGAAGAGTGCAGAGGGATTTGATATCAGACTTTAACTACCTGAAGGGAGGTTCCAAAGACGATGGAGAGAGTCTGTTCTCAGTAGTGATGGATGGCAGAACAAGGAACAATGGTCTCAAGTTGCAGTGTGCAAGGTTTAGATTGGATATTAGGAAAAATTATTTCACTAGGAAGGTGGTGAAGCATTGGAATGGGTAACCTAGGGAGGTGGTGGAATCTCCATCCCTAGAGCTTTTTAAGTCTCGGCTTGACAAAGCCATGTCTGGGATGATTTAGTTGGGATTGGTCCTGCTTTGGGCAGGAGGTTGGACTCGATGACCTCCTGAGGTCTCTTCCAATGCTAGGATTTGATGATTCTATGAGGGATTGCTGGCAGCGTGTAGCTGGGGTTGCCAGACCCTGCTCTCTGATGCAGTCACCTTATGCAGGGAAGGGACTGGGAAGGGGAGAAGCTGGCCCCGCTGTGGCCTCCTCTTCTTCCCTAGAAGTGCCCCATGCTGGGAAGGGTTTTGGAGGCTTCCCGCTCTAGGGACAGATTTCCCCCTTCCTCTTCCCTCCTGGTCCCACACGCCTCCATATGGGCAGGAGTTGTTGTTGCTAATAGCGTCTGCAGCCGCCCAAAGCTGGGAAGCAGCTCCAGGTTCTTCTGTGCTGCCGCCTGGCCACCCGGTGCGGGGGAAGGGCGGCAATCACTGAAGTACTGGAGGCACTTCTGTTTGCACAGGGGCTCCAGCACATGGAGCCTCCTCTTCTGGCCAGGTCTCTTGTGCCTGCCTCTCCTAAGTGCAGGAGAGGAGCCAGTTGTGTCCCATCTGTGCTACAAGAGAGGCTGGGGGAAGTCTTTAAAGTGGCTCCCAGGACTGCAGCGTTTCATGGCTACTGGACCCCCTAAGGGCTGGATTAAAATGTGTGGTGGGCTGGAAGTTCCCCACCCTAGCTCTAAATCTTGAATTTTTAAAAAATCCATTTTGTTTCTTAGTTTTTTCTTCATCTTTTTTCTTCACTGTAATATTGATGTCCTTTGGTCTCTGACTTCTGTAACTCTTCTTCCATTGTTTTTTCCCTCCCCTTTTTGCTTTTTGGTTATTTCTTTCTGTGTTCTTTAGTCTTTTTATCTTTTTCCCTCATATTGGTCTTCCCATTTGATTACTTCCCTGGCCCCTTGTCTTTTTTGTCTCCCTTCTTATTTTGCACTAGCAGGTTAGTCATCATTGGTAGTATCTCGGGAACAGATTGTTCCGTGATGTTTTCTTTGAAAATACTATAAGCGCAAGTGCCATCTAAATAATTTTCCAGAGAACAAATCAAAATATGAAACAGCAGATGTAGAGTCTTAAAGTTAATATAGGGTTTGTTAATTGTCACACTGGACACATCAAGTGTTCCATTTACTACAGAATAGATACATTATAGGTATGTCTATACTGCAATTAAACACTCACAGCTGATTCAGGCTCTTGGGGCATGGTCTGTAAAATTGCAGTGTAGGTATTTGGGCTCAGGCTGGAGCCTGGGATGTGGGACCCTTCTTCATTCCGGGGTCCTGAAACTTGGGCTCAAGCCCAAACCTGAACCACCTATACTACATTTTTCTAGTCCCTCAGCTCTAGCATCAGTCAGCTGGTGTGGGCCATGGTGTTTTACTACAGCATAGACATACCCCAAAGATATGGTACAGTTCCTCTAAGTGTGCCAGGATCTAGAAGATTTACCTTCATAGATAAAAATAAATGTTTAATTCTACATGCACACTGCTTTGAGTGTTACTAAAGGATTGTAATTTGTGCTAGTGAGTTTTATGATGCAGTCACCTAAAAAGAAATTGACAGATCACAAACTCATAAAACAAAATCAAGAACCCTATCAAACAGCTTTCAGATGGCAATAGTTTCTGATTGTTATTGATCTGGGTGAATTTGAAACCAGTGACCCAGCAGTAAAAAATTTCGACAACTTTCCCCAGAATTTCTCAGATCTTGAGGTTAGGTCTAAGGTAGATCAGTGAAAACTACTCACTTAACTTGGCTATGTATGTACAATGATATATTATGACACACACAAATGTTAACCTGTCTAGTATGTGAAATGATTATCGTTACTTATGCCACCTTTGTCCTTTTAAATTTTTCATCTGCTCATCCACACATCCCTCTTTCCCCCCTCTATTTCTCTTGCACACAGACACCAGTCTTATTTACAACTTGAGACAGATAGTTGTTTTATCATTTTCATTCACTCTTTTT